GAAATAAATACCTAACCTCTCCAGCGGCAGCAGAGCGGCAGGTCCCCACCACCACGGCCAGGCCACCCGGGCTGGGCACTGGCTCCACAGGCTCTCTTCGGCCTCGGCGCTGTGGTCCAGCGGCAGCAGGGGGGCTGCTGGGCGGGCTGCTGCCTGCCCTGTGTTATACCCGGCTTGCGAGAGATGAGGTGTCCCGCAGGATTGGGAGGAGTGTGGGGATGTCTGGGGATGGAAACCTTGACAGGCTGGAGAGGTAGGTCCGTGCGAACCTCATGAAGTTCAAGGAAGCTGAGGGCAAGGTCCTGTGCACGGGTGGGGCAATTCCAGGCACAAACACAAGCTGGGCAATGAGTGGATTGGGAGCAGCCCTGTGGAAAAGGACTTGGGAGTAGTAGTGGATGGAAAACTGACCGTGAGCCAGCAATGTGCGCTCACAGCCCAGAAAGCCACCCGTGTCCTGGGCTGCATCAAGAGCAGTATGGCCAGGAGGTCAAGGGAGGGGATTCTCCCCCTCCACTCTCATGAGACCTCACCTGGGGTACTGCATTCAGCTCTGGGGCCCCCAACATTAGAAGAACATGGAGCTGCTCGAGCAGGTCCAGAGGAGGCCACAAGGATGATCAGGGGGCTGGAGCACCTCCCTGTTGAGGACAAGCTGAGAGAGTTGGGGGTGTTCAGCCTGGAGAAAAGAAGGCTCTGGGAAGACCTTATTGTGGCCTTCTAGTGCTTAAAGAGGGCTACAGGAAAGGTGGGGAGGGACTCTATCAGGGGGTGTTGGGATAGGATGAGGCTGAATGGCTTTAAACTGAAAGGGGGTAGATTTAGATTAGACATAAGAAAGAAATTCTTTCCTGTGCGCGGGGTGAGGCGCTGGCCCAGGGTGCCCAGAGAAGCTGTGGCTGCCCCCTCCCTGGAAGGGTTCAAGGCCGGGTTGGATGGGGCTTGGAGCAGCCTGATCTAGTGGAAGGTGTCCCTGGGGCCCATGGCAGGGGTTTGGAACTAAGTGATCTTTAAGGTTCCTTCCAACCCAAACCATTCTGTGATTCTATGAAGATGCAGAAGCTGAGCCTGGGAACAGCTGGATTGATTACAATCAGGAGGGATGGGGAGCTAGCAAGGGCCCTGGTGAGGCCACCAATCTGCACATAATGGCTCACCACTGGTGAGCTAGCTCTGTGCTCCTCCTGCCAGGCAGCACACAGGCCTGGCATGTTCTGGGCTGGAACTCCAGTAAAAGGCCAGAGAAAATCCCTGTGACAGGGAGAGGCAAGAGCAGCAGGCAAGTTGCACAAAGGCCTATGATCAGAGGGGTTTGACTTAGGTGTTCTAGTATCGTACTCTGATCATTTCTTCATCATGTGAACAGGAGGCTCCAAAATGCCTCTCCCTCACGTATTACCTGAGGCCAGGACTCATAGCCTCTCACAGAGGCATCTGAGGGGTTTAGAGCAGAGACTAAGAAGAATTCCCCAAATGGCGAGGGTAGGAATCCTCTAGCCTGCAGGTAACCTGAGCACCAGTGATCCTGCTGCTTGCCACGCTCACACATCCGTAGCTCAGGCTCTCTTCACCCAGTTGCTCAGCCAGTTCAAGTTCAGTTTCAGAAAGTGGCTGCTCTCTGGCAAGGCTCAAGGGAGCAAATTCAGGCAAACCACTCCTATAGTAATGGGTCCATGATGGTTCTAAGTGTCAGAGGAGAGCGAGCCCTGGCTGGTCTGGCCTACTGAGGTGCTTCTGCCTCCCCTCTTATCTCTGCCCTACCGTGGGAGAAAAGGCGTCTTTGCTCAAGTTACCCTTGCTTAGGCTCCTGTGTGTCTCCCTCCATGGCTAGCAGAGAGAGATCAGTGCTGACAGGGAGTCTAGTGCTCTCTTGCAGAGTTGCTATGGTGCTGCGGGCTCCTACTACCTACCTGTTGCCTTTTCCAGATCTGTGAAGGGACAGGCATTAGCACAGGTGTGGCTGGGACGTAAGTCAGCGGTGTTTGGTCATGGGCATTGCTGAACTGTGCACTGAGGTCTTTGGTAAGAGACCCACCACTCAAACACTAAATACTTGAAGGCATTTCAAAAGCAGACACCTGGCACCTGCTTGCTGCTCTGCTTTATTTGTGGTAGCAGTTAACCATAGCTAGGAGCCCTGCAGTTGTCAGCTATACCTCCGTGTAACTTTATACACAGGAATATTCACAACGTCCTGTTCCTTTGAACTCAGTTGAAGCAGCAGGGTGTTCCTTTGCTCCAAAATGTATCCTTGTTCTCCCCCCTTAGCTGTTCTCTTATGCATCAAAAGACAGATCCAAGATCCACTGAAGGTAATGGAAAGACATGGATGGTTTTCAATGGGAGTTAGATCAGTGTTCAGATAAATACACAGTTCAGTAAGGCAGGATCTGCTTATTAGTAATACAAACATTAGCTTACTCAGCAGAGATATTTGACCTTCATCTTTAAATTATTTCCAAGTTCAGAAAGGATTTAAACTGTGTGTCCAATCAAGAGTTTGTATCTTCTATTGCAGGAAAAGGCTCAGAAACTTACTGTGGCAAAAAGTGTGAAATTGTGGGTTTCAGCAGATCATTCTAACAGAGAAGTTGTGAGCATTGTATGAGGAGAAATCCATGCATTTTTTCTGAGATTGCTTTCCACTGCTTGAACACAGTGTTCAGCCTTTTCCAGCAAGCATCCTAGGAAGACTCAGAATGTTATTCCTGCTGGTCTAGTGGGGTCAGCCAGACAACACAACAACCCCTTGACAAAGCACATACCAGGCTACATACCTTTCATACCCAGCCTGCCCTGTGAGGTGGATGCGGAAAGGTTACCTGCTCTGGGCTTAAACTTTCGGGTGTGCTCAGGTGGAAGAATTGAGTGTTTCACTTCTGAGACAGGTTTGTGCCCTCCCCAGTTAAAGCTGGCAAGCTAGACAGCATCACTTATCAGCCCACGACTTGAACTACATTGTGCCGTGGCTTCATCTCAATTCTTTGATTCTGCTAAGTTTTTCTAAATCGGTTGCTATTAGTAATGACACTTGCAAAGGCCCTCTTGTTTCTTGTTGCTTTTTTTCAGGGTGTCTTTGATTTGAGAGACTAGGAATCACTTCTGACACACAGATGAGCCAGGCAGGAGTGCATGAGTGGTCCTATTACAAAAAGGCGCCTTTCCTGATGCTCTGCTCCTCTCTCTGTATCACAAGGGCTTATCGGGCTTTGTGCTGCAGGGAGCTAAGATCCTCACCCAGGAAATAGTGGAAGAAATGGCACCAGCTGTGGACAGGCCATTGTTTGTCATTCTCAAAGTATGGGAAGGCACTGGGAGACTACTAGCACTTGAGTAACTCCACTGCAAGGGGAGGCAAATTATTCTAACTTGGTGGAACAGTCTGTATGGATATATATATATATATACACATACACGCACTGGTTTTTACCCCAAGCCTGGCCAGGTAGCCTTAGCTTAAAGTACCTATGAGACAAAATTCAGTGAACAGCCTGGATTAAGTGTGTGGTAAGAATGCACCCTCAGATCTCTTCTCCTGTCTCTCAGGTTGATGGATAAATTTGAACCAGCTGGGTAAAGTTTCTCTGTTTCCTAAGTTTTCTTTCTATTTTTCCTGTTTTTCTACTGTTCTTTCTGGGAAACACTGGGTGTTTTTCAGGTTTTCTTCTCTATTGATAATAGGTTATTTTCAAAACCTGCCAATTTGTCCAGGCCTGGAGGTGGACTGAAAGAAGAGGGTCTTTCTGATGGTCTGCCTTACTCAGCTCCTCAGGTGGGATCCCAGCTGCTCAGGAAATGAGATGAGCTCTCATTCCTCCTCTTAGTGATTTAGAACAAGTCTGGCAAGAGATGAGAAAGCAGGAAAGCTTTTTTCTTCTTGAGAGTGATAGGAAGAACTACTATGAGAATGCAAAAATAGGGACTACCTTTTCATCTGTTCTGCAGTGTCTGGCCTGTGAGTTAAGAGAAGAGTGGTCCTGTGCTGCAGGTGAATTTCCTTGGCTTGGAAAGGAAGAATGTGCCCCCCCATAACTGGAGGTAAGAAAGTAAGAAGCTAAGGTAGGAGCAGAGGTGAGTGTGGTGTGAGGTGTGTAGAGCTGGTGGCTCCAGTGGAAGTGGAGATGGACATGTTTAGGAGATGGACCAGAGGGGAGTGGTAGGGCTGATAGCAGGGAAAGCACAAATGACACAGCTGCTTTACTTGTTATTTTTGGAAGAGCTGGCTGTATTAAGTGTTGTGTATATGTTGGAAGTAGGGCATGAGGGATTCCAAAGTCAAAAGACTGACCAAACATATCACTCTGTAACAGAAATGGTCATCTCCTTCCATGTGGACAACTCACCTGTGCTTTGTGTATCTCAGCCCATTAGCTGTTTTCTCCATTGTAATTTCAATACTTGTTCTGTTCTTCCCTAGTATGCTCATTGCTTGTCAAATATATGTTCTCAGGGCCTGTTGTCACCTTACTATCTGAAGCTCTCGCCTCTTTGCCAGTTGCTCTTCATAATAAGTTGAAAGTTTTTGTTCTTACTTTTGGGGTCCCACCATATTCTACCGCCCCAGGTCCCTACCAGTCACAGATTTTTTCCTGCCCACACCTACTTTTGTGTCTTCCCGTGTTATACAGTGCCTTTCCCAATGCCCTGTTCATTAGGGAATCTTTTCACAGGGCCATCCAAGAAGTGACCTGAACTTAATAATAATAACAATAATAATAACAATAATAATAATAATAAAGTAAATTCGATGGAGTCATGATAATATCTATGTACTCAAAGTTAGTGACTGGCTAGTTATTAATTTGGCTCTTCTCATTTGTTTTGTTACTTTCAATTAGTGTGTAACAATTCAGATTAGATAAGATTTTCCCAGGTGAGATAGGTAGCAGCAAGACTCAACTGTGCCTCATGATAAATCATTTACTTCTTCTCCCTGCAGCTGTCTTTTGGGGGGAATAGTTCTTCATTTTTGCAAGACATCTTAGATCCAGATAACTTACAAATACACCAATGAAACTATCAGACTTGATGACAGAGTCCTTGGTATGATTGTTTGTGGCTTCTACTGCAGTTATTTCCTTCAGCAGTACCCCGGCTCACCATCTAAAGGTGACACTGAGGAGTGTCTGTACTTGACTTTCAAAACTTGGGCAGACCTTTCTGTTTCCATGTAGCTTGGTGGGCAGTTGCTGGAAAAAATATGATGTGTTGTGGCATTTTGTTGAGTTCTTCTTCCCTAACCTAGAACAAACCAACAAAAACAGTGATGCTTTGTAATGGGGGATGGAAGCAGATAAGTGTCAAACATATGTAGCAGTTCTTTCTATCTTTCTAACCCAAATGTTACTCCAGTTAGTACTGCATTTAGTCAATTTATTCAGGTGTCTGTGGAAGATGCATCTTTTGCTATAGGAAGTAAAGACTTGTCCAGAAGCTTCCTCTTTTACACATATTTGTAGAGTAATCTTCCAGGCTTTCAGCAAAAATAAACATCTATGAGATGAATATAGGACCCACTGTGCTGCCATTAATCAGGTTTTGGCAGTAGGTTGTACATAAATTGCCTGCATTAGCTTGACTTATAAAAAGTAGGGGGGTTTAGGTGATAAAGCAAACACTGGAAAAAATACACAGCAGAACTAGATGACCTGTGTTTTCACATTAGCAGAAGTCTGTCTTCAAGTCCTTCACTGTAAAATCATCCACTTCCTTGTTTTCAAACTGAATTTTCTCCAACCTAGCTGGTGGTTTCTTCAGTGTCTTTTCCAGGGCATCTCTCTGTAGAGACATTAAAAACTTTAAGCAGAGTATATTTTGATGTTGGGGTGACACTTTGCTGCTTGCCTTCTGCTTTTTTTTTCCTGCATGGAGGTGATGGAATCTGATACCAATGAAAGCCTAGAAATAATGATGTGCTTATTAATAAGCTCAGTGCTCACTCATGAGCGAGTGTTGTCTGCAGTGAGAATTTCCCTTTTCTGCTGAGTGATGTGTCTGTGAAGCTTGCAATGTTGCTGTACACCCAGCAGATGTGGGGATTTGGTAATGAGGCCCTAAGCATTTAGGGAAGTTACTTTATTACTGCTGAAGAGATTTAAGAATGGTTTTGTTAGAGCTTTGTAATCATGATACTGCTGGCCTCTGCTGCATACAAATGAGCAGCCCAATCCTAGAGCTCTGCTGCTGAGGGTAGCACTTACTCCTGGAAAGATGTACTGATTATTTGATCAGCCAGAAGGCTGAATTCTACTGTCTTCTGTATGATAAGCAGTTTTAGCAGCGTTAAACCCACACCAATGACCTAGGGTTGAAATAATCACTATCCTGTTACAAGTTTCCTGAGCTATCTGCTCCCCAGACTTTTATTGCCATAAATAACTCTAGAAGTCAGGCCTCACTGCCAGAAGTGTTAAGTGCTGCAAATAGTATAGAAGATGACTCATTTAGTGAGATGAAGGTGGAGCATGAATCAGTAGGAAGAAAACTGATATACAAAGGAGAGGTTTTGAATGCAGATGACACAAAAAATCTGAACAAAGCCATGTTCAATCATAATAAAAATGAAACAAAAGACTTTTCCTAAAGAAAGAAACTGTTCTATCTAATGATAAAGGCCATTCTAGTGAAATCTCAAAGTGGGAAGGTATTGCATACTGAGGATGTCATTCTCACCCAATTGTGACTGCATAGGAAGAGATGAATGGAAAATTCTTCCCAATATGTCCAAACTAAGCAGAGTATTCAGCAAACAGGTTGCTTTCCAGATTGTTCTGTGTCTATACAAGCTGAGAAAAGAACTTATCTTTGAGCTAAACAATTCTGGGAGATGGAGTCTTCATAGCTTCAATGAACCCATGCTGAAAGCTAACACCAATGGAAATACTAAAATAATAACCTGTGCACATTCCTTGTAAATGATAACTTGTAAGTGGTAAAATTCCTATAGGCTGTTCTGTTAGGAACTCCAGCTTTTGGTCCTTTTGCTTACCCTCTAACTCAAGCCTTTAAAGATAGACTTGGAAAAAAGGTACCTGGTAGATGATATCCTACAGCTGCTGGTGCACTGATGAACTAAAGTGTTTGTTGCTGCCTATAATTCAACTCCTGGCCCTTCTTGGCAGTAGGGGTGTTAAGAGCTTAATGTAACTCTTCAGGGCTGGGGATTAAACATTTTCACATCTGACATCAGCTATGGTTCTTTGGAAATTAGGAAAAGGCTCTTCACTGAGAGGGTGCTTGGTCACTAGAACAGGCTCCTCAGGGAAGCGGTTACAGCACCAAACCTGTCAGAGTTCAAGGAGCATCTGAAGGATGCTCTTGGCTATATGGTTTAGTTTTAGGTAGCCTTGTGAGGAGCAGGGAGTTGGACTCGATGATGCTTATGGCTCCCTTCCAACTTGAGATATTCTATGATTCTATACAGTCTTTTTGAAGCACTATAGGGAAAAATAGTTACTTTTTTTTTTTTTTTTTTTTAACTCTCCTTAAATGATGAAATGTAATTATGCAAAGAAGTCTAGGTACCTGTAGCTTAGATGGAATCTTTGGCTCTGCTTGCATTTTTAATAAGAGAGCCACTGTTAAAATTGTAGAGTCTGGTTTGTCCTGTGGGATGTATGAATCTCTCTTGGCTTTGTTATTCTAGATCCACAAAATATTGCTCTGAAAAGTACAGTTTCTTTAGAGCAGCAACACTTAAGAAACAGGTGTAACAAGGCATCTTAACCTGTACTGCTTAGAGTTCCTTTGTTCAGGATAAAGCGAGGGACAGCCAGAAGTCTGAAGGCCTCTAGCATAGCTCTTTCACAGTGTTGGCAATGCCAGGAAATCTGGAGAAGACAGGTAATGCTGCCAAGGTTTAAGGGATGCAGATACTTATATGGAACAGAACCATGCACAGGAAGGGAAAGCTCTTGTAAGGATATTGCTATCTCCAATATTATTGTAATAAATAATCTCAAACTGGTTCTACTAATCTTTCATAATGCTGTGAGGTCTGTGAGCTCATTTCATTGAAGCTAGTGCTGGGCTGAAACTTGGCATAAATCTATTCGTGCATATTCCCGGCCAGTTCCAAAATTTCAGATGTTAATTTACCCATGTGCTAATGCTCAAGATCCAGAGCTGCATGTTGTAATTTGGAATATGTCTGGCTAATAAATCTTTTCTACTGCGTCTGTGTTCAGTGCATTTAGTCCCTCTATTCATAGGTAATCTGCTGGATTTGAGCTCTAATGGAATAAATTATTCTTACAGGAGGTAGCACAGGCCAAATTTTCTATTGCTACTAAGGGAGAGCTAATAGTTAACAACTAGTGACAGATTTATGTTTTCACTTGTAGTTTACCCAGCAGTGGGCCCAGCTCAAATGTAAAATGTCACTTGGAAAAGTTGGCTTTGTTAGTGAAAAGTATGAGGTTCATTTTTTAAAAACTGTACTGATTTTAAGACCAAAAAGAAGTGCATTCTTTCTGTTGGGAAGATGGAAATTCTCTCAGGAGAAATAGCATAGACTGAGTTTCTGTCAATAAAAGAGTATGTGTAATTTAATACCAGACAGCTTTTTAATAGCAGAAGAAAGAAAGAACAGAGAGACTCGCCTATCTTATGAAGGGGGAAAATACAAAAACCTGCCTGCAGAATGTTACCTAAATTTAGCCACAGAGGGGATAATCCTCTCTGATACTCAAAAATCTGTATGAGGGAAGTAAGTAAAGGCTATGGAGAAACTGTACTCCTAGATCCTCCAGCCCCATTTTCCAAGGTGCTGGCAATAGGAAATGTGTTAGGCAGTACCAGTGGCCAGACTGTAAGGTGGCACTTACTTGTTTAGTCCTTATGAAAGTTTCTGTTTGATCTCCAATAATATATGTGGCTGAGGTTAGAGATGTGTGAATGGCTTGCCTCAAATGACAAAGCTACTGAGAATCATGCTTGGTTTCAGCTCAAATTGTTCCTGTGTTCAAGCAGTGGTGGGACCATGCTTTGGACAACATATATCCACAAATGCGTTAAACTTCTTACAGGCTTCCTGCAAACCTCCTCCCTCCTGACATCTATGCTTGAAACCCTATCTGATCCTTAACACAATGCTTGACAACAAAATAATAACCTTGAGTTCAGAAGCAAAAATAAACTTTAGGTTATAATTTGGAATGAAAAGAAAATGGGCACTAGCTTCTTAGTCAAATAGTAGTTCTATATTAAAAAAAAAAAAAAAATCCATCGTGTAAAGGTTTCTTAATCTGAGATCAAATGTGAATTGTAGTTTTCCAGAAATGTGAATATTTAGGATTTCTGAGGTCTTAAATAAAGTGTAATTACAAGCCCTGATGACATTATTTCTTCTAGTTTAATGGACTTAAGAAACAAGTTTGTGGCATGTAACTTCCCGTGAGTTTTTCCAAGAGCATGTTCTTAGTATTGTCACTGTCTCCTTTGTCCCCATTTGAGATGAGCCAAGAAGCTGTAAACAACTGAAAACTACTGCCAGATTCTGTTGTATTAGCATCCCCATAAGACAGTTCTTTGTTGTTTAACAACTTGTTCCTGAAGTCTTAGAGGAGATATGTTTGGATGTTTTGCATGTGCAGAAACTGAATCTCAGAGCACTCACAGCAGGGTCAGAGCTGTAGCAGGGGTCCCGTCTCGTATAAGGAGGCTTACCTTGTTTTCATACGCTTTTCCAGTCCTGTTAGTGATAGTTTGGCTCTTGATTATTCCCTGCATCCTCAGCTCCTCAAGAATGTCCGATGATTTTTGCCACTCTGTTTCCTGTAGGGGCCATGATTTACTGATGAACTCACTGGTGAGCAGTGCCTCTTCAAAAGATGAAAACATTAAAACTTAGTACTTGTAGAGCACTTGGCATTCAAACAAAACTTTGTGATGTATTTCCAATGCCACAGTTTTTATTTAAGAGGTTACATACTGAGAATGTCCAGTGGAGAAGGCCTGCTCAAAGCTCTCTTCACTGCTTGAACTTTGCGGTAAGCTTTTTAGTGGCTTGAAAAACAGTGCAGGCACCTAGTTTGGTTTCTCACTGTAGTCAGGTACTCCCACAGGAGCACGTTCAGGAAGGCACGGAAGTGTGTGCTGAAGCCCCGTGAAACCAATTTTTCAGCACGTTCCCAAAGAGGGTCCATAGGGAGCTCTTTATGATTAAAGTTCTAAAGGGTTCTGTCATCTGGTCAGAGAAAGCCAGGCTGGGATGGGATAGTACAAGCCTACAAATGGGCCATCTTGTAAAGATCACTGTGTTCTTCTGAATTCAACCAAATTTTCATATGCTTCTGTGGTCTGTGATTTTTTTTTTTTTTTGTTGTAACAGCATTGATACATTTGAATCTAACCATAAGCATTCCAACACTTAATTATATATTTATAAATAGCAATTAAGAATAAAAACCAAATTATTTTGATAACCCTTCTGAGTGGCTGTTTAGTTTCCACATATTAGACATGAATTAACAACGAACAACTTCATTGCCAAGACTCATCAGGTTTTTCAACCCTCAGTTGACAGTTCTACCATCTGCCCAACCTCTATTGGCAGAAGTTAGAGCTTTTGTACAAAGAACGCTTGGACCAAATCAAAAACGCAGTTATTTGACATCTGCCAGTCTTTATAAGCAGAGGGAGTATGACAATGTTGGCTTATTTTTTTAGTTGTAAAACAAAAATATGGAACATCTACTACCTTGTAGAAACTGACTCCATACTGCTCCTAAAATAACTGGACCAGTCACCCAAAAAGTACTGGGGTTCAGCTGTCTGTCAGAACACACAAATGTCAGAAGCCAGTATACAACAAAACATATCTTGGCAAAAAATAAAAGCAGGATGAGTGGGCAACACTGACAAGTGATGTGAATTTGTATTGGTTTTACTAATCTCCTCATTCAGGAGAAAACTGTAGTTTGAATATCTTGGTATGGTATGGTATTTTTTTTGTATCTTGAAACAGAAGATTGAAGCGTAATTTCAAAAACTTTCTGTTTAGAAATTTCATGTGAAGTTATATTTTAGCAAGTGGGAGGAAAAGGAGCTTGAAATTAAATGAAACACCATTTCAGAGAAAGCAAATAATATTGTTCAACCTGAAATGAAATCCTTTCATCACATCCTTCTGTGGCATTGGGAGTTAAGTCCTCTTTAATTAATAGTAAACACCAGTAATTATTCCTTTTGAGTTCAGTTTGAAATCTTTTATTACAACCCTTGTTTATTACAAAGAGTAAACCACCGCTGTAGATTTTCCATTTAGTGTGTTTATGAAAGATAAGATGTTCATGGCACTTGAAAAATACTGGCACTAAACTACAAAATTAGGGGGGTTTAAATGTGCCAAAAAATGGTGCTGCTTTTTTATTAGCAACTCTTACTACAACGTTATCCTAAGAATATAGAAAAGTTTATGTTTAAGTGTTCACTTGCACTTAAAAAAAAAAAAAAAAATTCTTAGCAGACCTTTGTTTATTGTCATGACCATTTCTGGAATTTTTATAATTTTCTCTACATGATAACTGTCTCTGCAACTTTTGGTTATGAATTTAAGGAATAACACAGTATTTACTGTCTCTACCTAATGCTAGTCAGGGTCATTGTATTGACCATTCTGTTGTAAAAACTGACTGATGGTAACAGCAGACTGACAGCCCTGGTGCGGGCTATGTGTCTTCCCAGTGTGCTGTAATCCCAGTTAGAGGGGGCTATCCCTTGAGGACAAGGCTGAGTTTGTTCTCTTGGTCTGTTCCAGGCGTCTGCCAAGAAAAGTGTCTATCCTGCTGCTTGTTCTCGTAGCAAGGGTTGAGTCATGCTGCACAACATAATCATCAGCTGGGAAATACTTTCTGCTGCTATTGCATGGTTTTAAACCAGTGCGAAGAGCTCAATCCTTGTGGGGTCACAGCATGAATGTTTCTGGGTACAGAAGTTGGCTGTAGCAGTAGACTCTCAAGATTATCTCCTCCTAGGTCTCCGTTTGTGGAGCTGGTATGAACTTCAGTTACTGTTTACCTGTGCTTTGTGCATTTCTGCTCTTCTGAGAGGATGCAAATCTTTTTGGTAGTTCTTCAGAGGAGTCTACCTCACTGGTCTCGTCTTCAGGTTTACCTCCATCATTTGAAGAGCCCATTGGCCCAGCTGTCTCATCCTGTGAGGGAACAGCCTCTGTTCCAGCAGTACTGTCATTTCCAGTCTACAAGAAAATGAAGAAACATGAGAAAAGCTCCTTGGGCTTCTAAACATTCAGGGTGGTATCTAGAATAGTCCCGTAGAATTGGCAGGTTCAGAGTGAAGTGGAAAACAGAGATGTTCCTGATACTTATCCATGTTCTGTCATAGGCGGATGTTAATGGTGAGGAAAGGTCTCTTGGAGCATTTTGGAAAGGAAGCAATGACCTTGAGCCTAAATGTGTCCATAATCCAGATGACTGTATTAGAGTATTGTTTCAGTAGTTCAAGTGCCTTCTGTATGTCGATCATTGGTTAGAAATTTAAAACTGAGTTTTAAATTTGCACTTGGTAAGGTGTTAAGCTGCGTACTTTCCAAACAGTAGCTTGGAACCTCCAAAGAATGTGGTTTTAGAGCCTAGATGTATTCTTGTCTCCTCTCTGTATGTTTGGACTTGAGCCAATTCAACTCTGCAAACTTCACAAACTGGCTGTGCGCATGTATCCTATAATATTTGCATATATACAAGCCCCCCTGCCTTGTGATAAATTTTGAGGCAAAACCCACCTTGCTGCCGTGTTGTAATTCATCACTGGTGTGGGAGATAAGTGCCTCTAACTGTATCCTTAATGAGGCAAGTGGGACAGACTGTGAAAAGCAACTTTTCAGGTGTTAAAAAATCAGATTATGCATGTGGCCAAATGGTGAGTCTGCTTCCCCTGTAGCATAAGGGTTGTATTAAGCTGAGTGAGTGATAGCCCTTCTCTTAAAGAGCTTCCTGAAAGTCAGAGCTATCGTTAACATCAGCAAAACCATTTCTCTGTATGTGTATGTCCTCGTGCACTCGCGTGCTAAGACATCTCCTAATGTACTTTATACAGAGTCTGTTAGGAAGAAGTCACTACCTGGCTTTTGGCTTCCAGGTTGTACTGTAGCTCCTCAGAAGACAGCTGTGTGACGGCAACCCTGTTAGAAATATTGCAGCCCATGGTGAAATTGTGACCATCTGCTTCTCCGTGCTGCAAGTCCAGGGAGGAGGAATGCCCTAGTCTCTTGCTTGGGAGCTTGGTTATTCGCTATCACCATGGAGTCTAACTGTTGCCAGGGCCTGTTGCTACAATAAATATCACCACAGAAGGCTTTCTTCTTATGTCCTGGTATACAGGCGTCATTGTCTTTGTCCAGGCACCCTCCTCTGAAGCTGAGAGGGAATATGTTTCTTCTGTGCAGCTGGGATGTTGGTCTGAGAGCAGCAAATCTGTGCAGGTCATTCAGGGCATTAGTGAACCTCCTGCAGGAACTCAAGCGAAGACACTTGAGTATCTCCAGCCTTTTTATCTTTTCTTTTTTCTTTCTTTATTTTTTTGACAAACAAGATATTGTCATGAAAAATACATGCACATTTCAGTGTCTGGATTTCTTAAGTGTTCTTTGGTACCATCAGCCATTGGAAAAAATCAGTCCTGAATCTGGAATTCCAAGCATCAAGGAAAGCTTTTAAATGGGAAGAAATGTCATCAGAAGACAGGGACAGGCTGTGACTAGGGAAAATGTTTTAAGCATCCTTTGAGATCATTGTACAATTCCTTGATTATTGAGTTTGTTCACATCCTTAGCAGTAGATGTCTGTAGGACACTTTTTTTTTTTTTTAAAAAAAAAAAAAAAGCAGCCATAGTTTATGCTTCTAGGAGGTTGTTATAAAAGATAGCAGAGAAATGTTAAGGCAGTGCTGTCAGTTGAAGATCATGTCTTGGGTCACTTGTGCTGAGATCATCAGCTGTTACAGTTAGAAGAAATAAATTGTTTTTTTCACAAATATTCAGATGAAACAGTCTCTTTGTATTAAATCAGAAGATTAAAAAAACCCCAAGTAATTATTGATACCTATGAGGAATTATTTTTTTTAACTTCCTGAGACCCTGGCAACAAATGAATGTCAGCCTGTGACCTTACCCTGATTTGCAGTGGAAAATTTTCTGTAAAACTTGTCAAATTTCTTTTCTGTAGATGCGAAACAGAGATGTTTACATGACTAATGTGTCTTTCAAGTAGTGACGATGGTGGACTTTCAGAATCAAATGAACCCCAACAGAGAGACAGAGTGACTCCAGCCTAAGAGATGGCTGGCTGGCTGGCTGCAGGCTGCCCTCTGTTCCTCTTGTCTCCAGTCCAAACCCTCTGCTGGTCTGGTTGGAAAGCTGAATAAACTCACTTGCATGGATGTGAGCCTAAAGCGATCTTCCCTGCCTTGGTGTGCCTTATTTGACTGTGCAAAGTGCTGCACTAAGGTTATTGAGTGGCTTCCAGGTTTTAGCTAGTGTCCTTACCTGGCTCAGGGTGCATCCCTGTACCTACCTATGCTGGAATCCCAGAGATGCAAGGAACTCTCAAATAGGCATCTACCATCTCACAAGGAAAAAAGTGTCTGCTGAGGAATTTTGTTTGTTTTTCATCCCTAACCAACAGGGACCTGATTCTTGCGTGCAGTTTGAATTCACACAGAATGCAAAGTCAAATAACCTTTTGGTGTGGGTTTTTTTTGTTGTTGATGTTTTATTTTCTCCTCTCTTTAGCAGATGTTTGCAGGTCATATGTGATAATGCTGAAATGTGATTGCTGCTTGATGTATGGCTGAACATGATGTACAGGCTGTTTGCATTTCTGATTAAACACTTGCTGTGATGCTGCAGTTCTAGAACTTGTTTATATGTAAATAAAAGGTGAAATTTTAAACCTTGCAAAAAGGTGATCTTTACTTGTTCCTTCAAACACAAATGAGGTGATAAAATGGAAACAATGTCAATTATCAAAGTAAGAAAATTGATTAAATGTAAAATCACAGGCTCTAGCATAATCAAGACCCAGGTAAGCTTTATGATTTATGCTTTACAAATTGTTTATTGGCACATAAAAGGAAAGACAAGTGATAGTTTGAGGAAGTAAGAGCACACAGGATGTAACAAGTGGCATGAAATTGGCCCTCATTCATATCTATGAGAAGAACCTTCTCAGATCTCAACAGGATCTATACACTTAGAGCCTGATCTTTAAGTATGTTATGCACATGATTAAATTGACATGGTGAACAGGGTATTTTTGAACAATCGGAGCTACAGGCTCTCAAGAGCAGACTGTTCTCACACTGATGCTGACTGACAATAGAAAATCTTCCTCTTCCTTTAGCAGCTTTTCATCAGTCTGTAGAATTAAAAGTGAGCAAGTTTCAGTATAGTCAAGGCACTGGGATGTGTGGTGTTGGTTGAAAAGTAAAGGATAATTCCTCATAAATACAAGTATAGGATATTGCCCTTTAAGAAAACCCATGGAACAAAGCTTCTGTAAAGCACAACATTGGAAGTGAAGAGAAAAAGGAGTTATGAGAAGGCTAGTAATGGTGGGAAAGGGAAAAAAGTGCAGGTCTCTTTATGCCTTGTCTTGTGAGAATGAAAACAAAAGCCAGTCACAGGGATGTGCATGCTGGGGAAAAATCACTACAAAATCAGAAACAGCTGTTTCTATAACTGCTGGTGTTATGTGGAGGAAATTGAAATGTATGTATATTTTAAAATGAGGAGAGTTGTTTTCAAAACTCCCAAATCTGAAGCTATTTGGCAGCTTTGCAGAATGATTAGGAAAGCTGAATGGGAGGCAGGACATCTCAGTGTCTACAGCCTTATCAGCTGTCTCTGATTTATGTTCCTAGATTAGTGAGCTACTGCAGAGAGGTGAGAAAAGCACTCTCTGTGGAATGGCATTCCTGATGCACAGCAACACTTTGTGGGTCTCTGTAAGTGAAAGATTCCCATGTAGTATCACCAGCCTGACACGTACGCAGATAAAATGCACTCTCCTGAGGCTTGGAGGCTGGCTGAACTTATTAACAAAACAAAGCTTGGCTGATTTGGAGGAGAGAGGCAAATTTCTGACATTTTTAGTCTGACAACATTCCTACTGACTTCAAACAATAAAAAGTGACAGGATGGATTTTTCAGGGACTCTAAGCAACAATATTTTGCTTTGAAAATAGGACTGACTTAGTTGGGTGGCTACAGAAGATGTGCCCTGATTGTTAGTGAGCACACATAGCTGTTTGGGGGAGAGTTTGAGGCCAAAAGGAAGACTGCAGCCCATAGTGTGCCTGTGCCTGAAGAGGGAAAGGGGTGCCCAGTTTCCCTGAGCTCTGGTGACTCTCCCCTGGGGTGCTGCCACAGCCCTGAGGAAGAAGCAGTCTGCTAGAGACATGGGTGATGGAGCGGAGGGGAAAAATCTACCCTGGGAGATGGGGGCTGGTAGGGGTGGAAAGCAAAAAATGATCTGGGTTGTGGAGTGGGCAGAGGGGAAGGGTTAGGGAGAGAGATGAGGTGGTGGGCTTGGTTGCATAAGGTGACTGGACACCAGAGATGTTGGATGTGGACCAAAACTGAGTATTTTTGCAACTGAAGTCAAAGCCTCTACAGATCATGCAAAAACTGCTGCACTTCAAAGACTGTCTGCTTAGCTAAACCCAAGTAGATTTTCACAGACAGGCACTGTATGATGTTTCTTTCCCTGGGGTTTTCTTCTATTCCCACTTTGAAATCTTACCTGCGTGGTAGTGGATGAATTTGTCAGGGCTTCCATCGCTGGCTCTTCCATGCCAGGCTCTAGGTACCTCCCAGACGGGCTAAAGAGCTTGCAGAGCTGGCCTTTAATGTGGAGCTTGAGTTTTGACATGGAGCTTAATATTTGCTAGGCTGGGAAGGGGAAGATGGCTGGAAGGGGAGCCACCGACTGTGTGGCTGTAGGCAATGGAGAACTGACTCCTGGCCGTGCTTCGCTAAGCCAGCTCCATGGCTGGCTCTTTTGTGTGTGCGTGTTGTATTTCAGTGCTGCATGTGGTCCAAATGCTGTACGTAATCTCTCCATGGTGACGGCACAGCATTTCTTTCTATTTAAGGAGAGAAAGAGGTTTGGGTTTTCTGCCAGAATTCCCACTCAGGTAATTACACTTCTGCCTGCAGAATTTCCCCGTAGCTTCAATTGTAGTAGTTGTTCTTCACTCCCACTATGAAAAAGTGCAAGTGCAGACCTGCTGCTGTGTTTTGGGAACGTGGCAGTGGTTGCTGTGCTGAGGCAAGTGCAGTGACCCCACCATGCATCATTTATGCTAAATTTGCCCCTAGTGAAGATTGCTGCATCCAACCATGCTACTCTGCAGCTCTCATCTTTCTGTGCCTGACTTTGGCATAACAAGTTGGTCTTGCTACTGATACTGCTAGCTGATAGTGAGACAGCCAGCTGGAAGCCAATGAAAAGATGATTAAGAGCCAAGAGAAAACCATATGGAGAGAGAGGGATTTCTCTTTACAGAGTTATAAGTAAAAGTGTTTATGTCTTTGGATCCCACTAGCTGTTTTTTCCCCTTCTTTGCATCAGTTTTATGGGTGGGAAGTGGTTGCAGTTGATTAGCAAATTCTACCAAATCTCTTTAGCTAGAACAAATGTTGTAAACAGTAGATATTTCAGGCAGCAATGTCAATACTAAAAATCAACATGCCAACGTTGTAATGGTAATAACAAATATTTCGTCATTGTTATGCTAATATTAACTACAAAACTATTATATGTGCTACCAACATTATATAAACAGTATTGTTTTGCAAAATATGAGATGTATTGAGTGAAGGTTCTTGTCTTAAATTTAGATGTTGTGGTGATTTTTTTTTTTTTTTTTTTTTTTTTTCTGAACTTATGACAGCAGAGCTAAAGTCCAGCTCAGTCTGGGAAAGACTTCTGCAGATGCTTAATTCTCTTTGAAGTCAAAGTAAACACAGGCCTTGCTCACTCAGAACCTTATACAGAGATTTAAAACCAAGGATGTCCAACGTTAATAAGTTAAGACTTACAAACCTTCTGTGGATAGTAAACAGAACCAAGGCATTTGAAACAACTTATTGATTCATGGAATTTAGCCTTTTTCTTCACAGAATGTTCACATGCAGATTGCTATTGAAT